AAATATACACGGGTTGTGCACTTCGACCACAAGGCCGAGGTGGCGGAATACGGACGTGCCTCCGGTGTTCCCTTCGTTGACGTCCAGGCGGGATTTTACGCCAGCAACTTCGTGGTCGGGACTTTTCCGCTGCTTGCCAAAGCGCCCGATGGCACATACGTGATACCGTGGCCCATGAAGCCGACGACCGTCATGCCTGTCATCGACATGGATAATGACTATGGTTTGTATGTCCGCCGAGTGCTAGAACTGCCCGTCTTCCCGGACGGTTCGGTCGTTTACACTGGCGAGGACATTACGGTGGAGGAGATGGCTCGTCAGCTTTCCCAAGGTCCCGGTTTCTCTCGTTTCTGGTGAATGACTCAACGTTCCCTCAGGCACCGGCAAGAAGGTTGTGTTCAAGCAAGTGACGGTTGAAGAGTCCACCAAGAACTTTGTGGACTTCGGTCTCCCATCGGCCGCTGCTACCGATGTCATAGAAGGAATGCTGTTCTTCGACGAGTTTGGATGTGCGTGGTGTTTTGTTTTCCGGCTGATCCGGGAGGTTTATATATATGCACCAGACTATGGGGGTCAGCCGTCCACCAGTACAGAAGGCCTCGCGCGACCGACGCGCACGTTCGCCGAGTTTGTGAAGGGTGCAGACTGGAGCAAGGTATTGGTATGATCTCGTCGAATGCACCAGCGATGTACGTTCGATTCGACTCAACCGTCGCGTAATTCATGATGTCTGTATTCGTGTGGGCGTGCGGCAGCATTGTACGCGTTGACCTTCGGCATCATTATAAAGCAGGATGTGCGGCAGCATCCTACGTTGACCTTCGGCATCGCGCAATGTCAAACCCTTGACGGCTTTTCACCTTCCTTATTTGAAAATTCGACAGACCTCGCGAATTTATAAAGCGAGGACGGAAAATCAAACGATTCAACGACCATCCAAATGACGATCACTCAGTCAGAATCCGCTCCCCTCGTCGCTGTAGTCGGCGCAACTGGGATTCAAGGCGGCAGTGTGATCAAGGCGCTCTCGGAATCCGACAAACCATACCGTATACGGGGATTTACCCGGGACTCCACAAAGCCAGCCGCGGAGACACTGAAAAAACAGGGCATAGAGATGATCGCGGTTAATTTAGTCCTGGAAAATAAGGACGAGGTTTTCAAGGCGTTCACCGGCGCGGACTATGCTTTCGTGAGTTTTGACATTCGTTTATAGACCCATAGCTTAATGTACGTGCACGATTTAGTTGGTCACCAATTTTTGGGAGCATATGAACGTGCAAAAGGTAATCTATTTCTCCCTGCCATCAATTTACACCAGCCGACTTTTACGACAGGAAATATCAGAAGGGATCATGCTTGTTGACGCTGCAAAAGCCGCTGGGGTTAAAGGCATCATCTGGTCTGGCCTAGTCTCCGCCGAGAAAATTAGCGGCGGGAAATACACCGCGGTTCAACAATTCGACGGCAAGGCTCTCGTCACCGAACACGGGCGCGCCTCCGGTGTTCCATTTGTCACCGTCCAAGCGGGACTGTACGCAAGCAGCTATCTCACCAACCCGTTGATGTTGGCGAAACAGCCCGACGGTACGCATGCGATCCAGTGGGTCGTGGGACCGAAGACGGTCGTCCCCATAATCGACACGCAGAACGACTACGGTTTGTACGTCCGTCGAGTACTGGAAACGCCGGTTTTTCCGGACGGCTTGGACGTGTATACCGGCGGCGAAGACATCACGGGAGAAGATATGGCTCGTCAACTCTCGGAAGGTAGCAGTGTTTACTTGGTTTCCGGTAAAGACTCAGTGTTTTGTGCAGTGACCGGGAAGAAGGTTGTATTCAAGCAGATAACGCCTGAAGAGTTCGCAAAACCCATAGCGAGCTTTGGCGTGCCGCCCCACATCATCAATGCAGCGATCGGCGCCTTTCAGTTTTGGGAGGAGTTTGGTTGTACGTTCACCCGTTCTGTTGACCCAGAATATTTCTGACAAAATAATCCTCCAGATTATGGAGGACAACCTACCGCCAGTAAAGACGGCTTGGCGCGTCCACCTCGCACCTGGGCGGAGTTTGTCAAGAGTGCGGACTGGAGCAAGGCATTGGCATAGTTTCAGGTTCAAGTGGAACCGTGTCATCAACAACTACGTCCGCATTTATTATTGAAAGATCTATTTCTGCGTCCAGTTTACTCCCATTTTCTTTCGAATCTCGGTCCTTCTCGGAGTGTACGCAAATGTCTGTTTAGGATCGATATTTTTTCGCACAACTCGGCCTGAAAGATATTGATATTGTCCAGTCGTCATTGCTTCCTCACAACAAGCTTACGCTCAGTAAAACGGAAACCACCGTGATCTGAGTTGAACATTCTTCACGTGTCGATTGTTCAACTTGCTGAGTCTGTTATCTCGTCGCATCTCTGACTTGAGTTATGCCAATAATATGAAAAGCATCGGGGACAATTGAAACTTTATACAAAATGAGGTATTGTGTTGTAGCGTCTGTTTATAAGAGACTATACGTTCCAAGTTACCAAGGTTGAAATTGGGCTCAAACATTCAACTTGCATTCAACTAGATAAGCATTTGACGGTAATGGACAGGCCTTCAGATCATTCAATTGCCTAGACCGCCGCTGCCATCTCTGAACTGAGTACAATAAACGGTTTTCAGTTGGGAACAAAGAAAGATAGGGGCATCAGAAGTCACTTGATCAGCGCATTGCCGACGCTTCCCGATCGATGGGATCTCCCATATTCGGACATTTCCTTTTCGAATATACTGTACATACAACACAAAGCACATTACACAGCAGAGGTATCCGCGCCCTATGCACCCATCTACAAATACATATGGCACCGATGTAACATACAGCACTGGTTTCCAGAGGAGCAGCAAAAGGAAAGAGACCCTACCATCGCGATTGCCAGATACATAGTATGAAAGACCACATCAAGATCCTACGAGAACGAGCCATGAATGAGCGCATCCCAGGCGCTGTTCTTGCTCTTGAGGGAGTCGATGATCTTCGAGCGTGGGACAGGAGCGATTGGCGAGGACGGCTCGTGCGTATCACTATGCGTATGCGCATCCTGGGTGGAGGGCGGTCAGCAGGTAGGTGCGGGCGCGCGGACAGCTGACCTGAGCCTCGTCTGCATCGGCGTCTGAGCCGGAAACAGACTCTGCCAGGGGCGAGGGCGCATGGAGGTGCGGATGCGGGTGGGGCACGGGCGTCGAATGCGGCGGAGGCGGCGCAGGTGCGGGTGAATGCGCCTGCGGATGAGAATGCGGGAAACCTGGGTGGCCGTGTGCTGGGCTGGCGGTGCCAGACGACGACCGCGACGAGTCGACGGTCGATGCGGAAGACGAGCGCTCCATTAGTGCGGGTCGTTTCTGGGCCAAGTGTCATTCGATTTCGCTGAATTTCAGCAGAAGAGCACGGAAATCGAAGCCAGGCAACGCGTCCCTGCATCTCACGCCACAGGGCAAAGATGAAATGCAAGTCGCGGTTACGAACACGCGCTGAGATTCTCCCGAGTGATAATCAGGAAAAGGCGAGCGCGGTCTCGAAGCAAAGATCCATGCCCCACTTCGCGTCTGATATCGACTTACTGGCGCTAGAATCGACCCCAAGGCTTGAAGTAGTGCATCCCGATGTAGTGCATTTGCGTGCTTGTTATGCACGTCGTGGTGTTGGTCCTGCGGTGGTGGCTGGACTTGCGTTGGCTACGAGTCATTGTCAGTCACACTCCACAGTCCCTCTGAGACACCTCACCATGATATGTGAGGGCTCGACGCGAGGGGGAGCTGATAGAAGGATACTAGGTGTAGTATCGAGTCCGGGAGAGTCTCCACGGACGCGGGTGTGGACTGTGCCAGCGAGCCTGGTGGGCGTAAAAGAAGAAAGTGGGAAACTCCGGATCCGCGCATCTTGCCAATACCCCGCACTAGTTCCCACGGCCGCGTGCCCCACATTCCTCAAGGGTATCGGGATTCGGGCCGGTCTCTTACCTGCTCGCACTCTGGCGTGCTAGCGCTACTCTCGCATTATCAAGGTCTATCCTCGTCGAATTGGACATTTTTTTCCCTAAATTACGGTGATAATTCATTCTTTTGGACCGCAAGTAAGTATAGCATAGGCAACACTCTGAAGCCTCGTTGCAGTAAAACTTAAAGGCTCGTCTTTGCTTTTCACGCCACGCCGAATCCTCCGAGTCCACGCCACTGGGAAGAGGCTAATCGTTTTACCTCCTTCTCGTTGCCATTCGTCGAGTACGGGTCATCTCGGGTGCGGACGCGGGAATCCGACGTCTCAGCGTCACCCAGTGTCAGTTCCGAATTCAGTCCAGATAAACTCCTGCTGGTGGAACCTCTGAAGCACTGACAGCTGACCCTCGGGCCTCGGCGGTTACCGTAGTCGAAATAGGTCGAAGTGCCAGGTAAGTATCTGGACAGAACGGCAGAAGGTTACATATGTATCATAGTTTGAATGACAGGACCAAAAAAAAACATACCGAGATTTAAGCTCATACCGAATTCTCCAGAGGCCTAGGCTGCATCTAGCTGCATCCCGACTACCCTCGCGATACATCAGTTGGCTATTGACAGAGAAGGATCCCCGTGCGTGCTTTGAGGCAGAAAGTGGGCGACGAACAGTTTACTTGCGAGGATTTGCTGCTTCAAGTTGCTTGAAGGACGACACAAGTATTCAAGTTGACGCGCAGACCTAGTTTTGAACTTTGAAGTGGCGGCGCCAGACTCAGCCAGGTCACGCCGGTCGGCATAGGAAGGCATACCAGTAGGACTCAAGGTGCTTGAGCCCTGTGCAAGGTGCTGTAGGTGAGTTGAGAGGCTTGAAGTGGCTGGAATAACTTGACTCTAGCGAAGGGCCAGCGGCGGTGGCGGAAGGCGAGCGACGAGATTGGCCCTGATTGAATCATTGACCACCAGGGTTTGATTTACTTACGATAGATTAACTCGAACTGATTAGGACACAAATCCGAAGGCCTTGTAGCTCAGCTGGGAGAGCAGCAGACTGAAGTGTGTTCATATATATCTGAAGGTCCGGTGTTCAATCCACCGCAAGGCCATTAATTTTTTTCATCAGAATATCAACCGCGAGCTCATAACTTTACTACGACTATGAACACGCACACGGTGGATAGCGTAGCGGCTTTAGAGTCTAATTTGCAAAGAGAACTTGGTTGAAAGAGTAATCACTGCGGATGAGGACTTGGTGAGACGCCTCGTGCCTAGAGTCAGTGCACTACTGTATAGCACTCTACCGTAACGCTCTCGCGGCACGTCTCAGAATCACAGCGGATACAACAACACGGCAGCAAGGGTGACACGGCAGACGTTGCGACGCTCGCCGATTTCTGTGCACTCTTTCTTTCGGAAACAGCCCACGACGACGACGCATTCTTGTAGAAACGTTCATCGCGCCTCGGGAAACGCTCGCCTTTTCGACGCCAGCAGCAAACGCGCGCGCACCGCCTGCGCAGGGAGAAGCACGAGTTGCGTGTCATGGTACGTGCGCGCGCGCGCTGTCTACCCTCTGGACCTAGTCATCCTGTGAATCGGTTCCAAGCGCCGAGTATCTTTGAAGTCGTTGGGTGCTTGTTGTGCTTGATGTTATTCCGTTGTGCTCATCAGGTCTAAGAACGACGTTCCCCACTGCAACAGTATACCGTTCTACGTGTGAACTGCAAAGAATTTTCCGGGCGTGGAGGGTACGTCTATCGACCATTCTCGTCTTCTCTGCCGTATTCGTCGAAGACACAGCTTGCGCTAGCAGCGACGTGGACGTGGTCGACGCAAGAGAAAGCACCGACGCAGGATGCAGTTGCGTACGGGGATGAGCTGGACATCGTCGACAGAGTGCAGCCTCGGAGAAGACAGCGCTGCGGGGCCTCGATGAGTTGTACCTTGCGGAGAAGTTTTGGGAGCGCACATCGGTGGGGACTTGCGGAAGCCGTTCCGTTGTGGCATCTAGAGGTGTAGCGGAGAGTAACGCAGTAGAAAAAGGCGAGACAGGCGTTGGGGGCGCGAGATTACGTGCGGGCTGCGCTGTCGAGGAAGGGGGGAGCGGCGGGTGAGGTGATAGCCTGCCTCGGTGGGGCGGAGATGTTCTCTTTGCTGCGCCTGGTATTTCCGCTCGCTCCCCTCGCACTGCGACTTCCCTGTTTCTTCTCCGCACCTCTGTCCACATCGGCATCATCAACGCGTACGAGGGTGAGCCCAAGCAGGGGGTGGGACATGTGCAGCTTCGCTGTGCTGTCCGTGGCCATGGGGTAAGTGCCGCGACGCATGTACGGGCTAGTGCCGTCCCTGTCCCTATATCACGGTACGTCATGATCAGCCTTCTGCAGGAGCTTGCTAGCGCAAACCTGCATGTAACACACACACTCCATTCAATGACTTGACTTCATTGCGAACGATTTTAGGCGCTTTGAGGCGTAGGCAGTCGCAGAAAACTTGAGTGGAAGCGGGCGCGTAAAGGGGCGGGCATTTCGTCCAGCTCATATTCCTGGTGGCCTGCGTCGCCGCGCGGTTCGCCTGCATTCGGCCAGAGGAAGGAGGGCGAACTCGTAGAGACTGATGGCGCAAGCTTGAGCTGATCGCCGACCTTGAGACCCTCGAAGCCCGGGGAACGGTGTTTATTCCCTTGTTCAAATCTCGAAGGCGAGCAGAATTTTTTTGTGCTTCCGCAACGTGGAGCTGCAGGTGAGCGATGATGTCGCGCGCCAGGGTTTCTTCCGCTGGTATATCCGTAGTCGGAGTAGCCACGAGTGTGGGAATGATACGAGTCGAGCCGCAGTGGCCCATTCACCATTGCGCTAGGTCGAGTCTTGAGGGTCAGCGTCGGATGGGAAGATCCAGTGTTCCGTTTCCTTTTGAAACTTTGCAGGTGGTAACTGTCCCGGGAACGACGATGAAAGATGATGCCCAAAACGGACAGACACCGACGTTTTGCCACTCTAACCAGACCTGGAAAACTGGAGGAAAATGGTGCCATAGAATCGCCTCGGTAGCTCTGACCACTCAAAGAGAACCCAGCAAGTGGGATCGACTGAGTAGAAAGAATGGCCGCGGCCCGTCGAAAGAAACGAAACCGTAGAGTAACAAGCGCAGAGGAATACTCTCGGCATAATTTGAGGAGTCTCCGTAGCGTGGTGTAAGGCTGACATCGGATACTAGTAGGGTTCGGTAGGAACTACGACAGTGAAGAAGAGCCAATATGTGGACCAAGAGTTACCAAGAGTCGGAGAGAGACAGCGGCTCTGTGTGGTCAGGTTTGTTCACGGTACTCTTCCACCTTCTTGTAAGCTCAAAATGCATCGCGCCTTCCATATCGCAGAAATCCTCGATCATATATTCGCGCAATTACAGTCTGACGATGGCCTCAGCCGCAGATATTTCGCTGCCCTTGCGAGAACTTGCAAAAGCTTCCAAGATCCCGCTTTAAATTTCTTGTGGCGTGAACAGGACACTCTCGTGAACATATTCAAATGCCTTCCCTCCCATACATGGGCAATAGTGACTCCCGCAAAGCGTCTCGTGAGTTGTCGGTCGTCACTGCTGTTTTCTATACTCATACAGCTCTTCAGCACATAACCAGTCCTCTCCGTCCAGCAGATTTGGATATACCGCTGGCGTATGCACTACGAATTCGGACACTGAATTTACGGGCGGGCCAAATAAGAAGCGACTTATTGTGGGTCGCTGACACCATGCAAATGCTCAGTTCCATGCTTCCCCGCGACCACCTATGCCCAAATCTCACAAGCATACTCCTTGAGCTTGGCCTTGACTCCGACTCCCAGGCCCTGTTCTCATTCATCCATCTCTTCCTTGGCCCAAAGATTGTACATCTCGATATTGTACTTCCCTCTTCCAGCCCGAATGTATTCTCGCTACTTGATCTCCCAATTCAGTACCCGCAATTACGACAGTTTTGGCTGAGAGGCCAGTCCCCTGGGGATCAGCCCTTTTGGGATGTACTATCGAAGATCGCGTTAACTCTGAACCGAATCGAATCCCTTGCTCTCGACAAACTCGATGGACCAGCCATCGAACATCTTTCCCAGCTTCCTGCCTTGAAATCATTGAGGCTTGAAGTCCCGGAATTGATAGATCTAATGCCCTCCTCGCGATTTCGCTCCCTGATAGAGCCTCAAACCCACCGGTTCTCCTCGCTCTGCGACCTCTATTTCGGGAACACAACGATTGAATTCGTCATCGAGTTCCTCGCTCTGTTGTCCAACTGCTGTCTGGTCAATTTTCATGTTGGCACAACAGTGCTAGTGGAGAAATCGACCACTCGGCGATTGTATGCGGCTCTGGCAACTCATTTGGCGCATTCCACGCTTCAGATCCTCTTTGTCGACGTCCCAGAGGAACTTGAAATCGAAACGCCAACGACGTCGACGCTTGCGAATTATGTGGTCGATGGATCGATCCTCGCAACCACCTTCTGCTTCGCAAATCTCACAGAGATTATTCTCCGACCACCTGCTGGATTTGACATAGACGACCCCATGGCATGGGATATCGCCCGTGCATGGCCGCGGGTGCACTCACTTTTTCTAGTGGCGGCCACAGAGTTGCGCCATCCATCCAGCATGTCCCTCCGTGGCCTCAGCGCTTTCGCCAAGCACTGTCCCGAGTTGACTTACCTCGGCGTCACCTTCGACGCTTCCACCATTCCGCCTCCAACTCCCGAACTCATCGTCTCACAAATGTCTCTTGACTCTCTAGACGTCAGCATTTCTCCCATAACCGACCCACCTGCTGTCGCGAGCTTCATGTCCGCGCTGTTCCCGAATCTCGCGACAATCTACGTGCACACTGGCTCGTTATGGGAGGACGTTACTGAGGATGACGTAGATTTTGCCGCATATCGCCGGTACACTCGATGGATGAAAGTGAAAGAGATACTCTCGGATCGGAGGGGTGCGACGAATGCACTGAGCTTAGGTCCCTCATAGTAAGGCTCGCGCATTTCTTCACTTGAAATCAGACCTGCTTCCTTATGCTCCTCGTGTTCTTATCCGAACTCCAGGAACGGTGGTACTACTGTAAATGTGGCCTTCATCCTTCCGGTCCGTCTCGGGAAAAGGCCGCAATTTTTTTTTTTGAATGCATGCCCCTCACCGCGCGCGGTGGGCACTATTCTCTCTAGGAGCCTAGGGTAAGTAAGTGCCAGATGTCGTGGTCTATCTGCGAAATCATGTAGAAAATCAAATCAAATGTCCACTCGCCGACAGCGGCCTCGCAAGATATGGGGGTGTATGGGGCAGGCTCTGTAGGTAAGGTAGGGTTGGATGCAGGGGCGGGGCGGCGCTATTTTAGTAGAGGGGACCGGCGACGTGAGGCTGGCTGCTGGCGCGTGCAGCTCGCGGGGCGGCGCGGGGGTGTGGAAGACAAGCAGAGTCGGCCGGGAAGAGGGGAAGGAGGGCGAGTTGCGGGGTGGGGGTGCGAGCGGGGTGTGAGCTGCGGCTGAGGTGGGGGTGCGAGCGCGTGGCGCGGCTCTTGGCGGCGCAGTCGCTGGCGGGGCTGATAAGGTGCCCGTGAAAGCGGCCAGTGCGACCTAGGTACGTGTATCCGACGGGGTGCGGCAATTTGGCGATGACCGTCATCGCGCTTTTAAGGCAGCTTTGCAGTTTCTTCAGAGGCGCCCTTGGTACGGAGGACAACAACGCGGAAACGAACCCCCAAGGTCAAGGACGCAGTACAGAACTGCTACTGCAGCTGAACCGTAGAAAAAGAAGCACTGGCTCCAAACATGGAAGATGAAAATATCGAATGGGATCAACGCGTACGCTGATGCGAGCACGAGTGTACGAGCGTGAGTTGGTGGAAGGAGCGCATGCGCGAGGTGACGGCGACGGTAACGAACATGTGCAGAGGTGCGCCGCGTTAGACGAGGGCGATCCGCATACACGTCGTGCAGCTGAGTTCCGAAGATGAGGGTGGTCGACATACACACGTCGTGTAGCCGAGTCCCGAAGGGCGAGGGCGGTCAGACTGCGCACACTATGCAGCCGAGTCCGTGCAAGACGTGGAGCCGCAAACAGGACGAGCGTGG